GCTCGTCGCCCTCGCCTTCCCTCCCGTCTCCCTTCCCATCTCGCACATTTGTCACCCTCCCATCTCTCCCCCCACTCACTCCCTTCCTTCCACCCAACAATCCCCTTCGATCCCCCCACTTATACCCCCCCTGCACTGCTTACCTCTCTCCCTATTCCCACCATTCTCTGCCCTACTCCCCACCATCCTCCGCCCTGCTCTCTCCCCGGCATCTGCCCCCGTACCCCTCATCCCATTCCCTGTATAAACGTGCCCCCCCTGCCCTTCTTCCCCCCATCCTCTGACAAGCTTCCCTCCAGCACTGACCTGCTTCCATCCATCCTCTGCCCGGCTGGCCCCCACTCTCTGCCTTGCTCCCCCCAATCCCGCCCACTACTTCTCCCATTCCCCCTTCTCTCTGTCCCCCTTCTCTCTGTCCCCCTTCTCTCTGTCCCCCTTCTCCCTGTCCCCCTTCTCCCACTCCCCCTTCTCTCTGTCCCCCTTCTCCCACTCCCCCATCTCCCACTCCCCCGTCTCCCAGTCCCCCATCTCCCTGTCCCCCTTCTCCCTGTCCCCCTTCTCTCTGTCCCCCTTCCCACTCCCCCGTCTCACACTCCCCCTTCTCCCTGTCCCCCTTCTCTCTGTCCCCCTTCCCACTCCCCCATCTCCCAGTCCCCCTTCTCTCTCTCCCCCTTCTCCCACTCCCCTGTCTCCCAGTCCCCCTTCTCTCTCTCCCCCTTCTCCCACTCCCCCATCTCCCAGTCCTCCGTCTCCCACTCCCCCGTCTCCCTGTCCCCTTTCTCCCAACCCTCCTTCTCCCTGTGCCCCTTCTCCCTGTCTTCCTGCTCCCTGTCTCCCTTCTCCCTTTTCCATTTCTCCCTTTCCCCTTTCTCCCTGTCCCCTTTCTCCCTGTCCCCTTTCTCCCTGTCCCCTTTCTCCCTGTCCCATTTCTCCCTGTCCCCTTTCTCCCTTTCCCCTTTCTCCCTATCCCCTTTCTCCCTGTCACCTTTCTCCCTGTCCCCTTTCTCCCTTTCCCATTTCTCCCTGTCCCCTTTCTCCCTGTCCCCTTTCTCCCTTTCCCCTTTCTCCCTGTCCCCTTTCTCCCTATCCCTTTTCTCCTTGTCCCCTTTCTCCCTGTCCCCTTTCTCCCCGTCCCCTTTCTCCCTGTCCCCTAATTCCAGCCCCCGTCCTACCTACACGTGCACCATATACCACCAGCCTGCACCACCCCTTTCCATCCTGCTAGTCTCGCACAGTTGGGACACATTGCATGAGTTTTGTTTTACAACCATGGCGAAAGCACTTCCCATTCCGCCACTCATTCACCAATCCACTCCCTCTCCCACCCACCTGGCCCCTCCCCTGCTCTTCCACGCACAGGTATGGTGGATCGCGCACAGGGATAGTGGTCGGTGGAGTAAGACGTGAACAAGCACAGGTTGAAGGCAAGATGGGGCCGTGGCAAAAAATGGAGATGGGCAGAGCCTGCAGGATGCCGGATGCCATGCGCTGCTGCTATATGCCGCTGCTACGTGCCCATGCCTTGTGGTTGCTGTGTGCATCTGACCTGCAGTCACCTGACTGACGCTGCTATGAGCCATTGCCTTGTGCTCGTCTCACCTCACCGTGCTTCCTTCCCCTCTTCCGCCATTCCTTTCTCCCTATACCCTGAACCTTGAACCCATTGCAGCGCCCCCTGTGCCTGCCCACCTGCGACGCCTCCACCATGCTGGGGGGCACGCCACGCTGGCGCCTCTGCTGACGTGGATGCTGCTGTTGCCACGGAATGGAGAAGGGAAGGGCGGAGGACAGATGACGAAGGTGTGTCCGTGTGCGAGTGACAAACCCCTGCTGCTGGCAACGCTGCTCAACCAGCTCACTGCAGGGAAGGGGGCGGGAGAGGGGGCGGCGGATGGGAAGAGAGAGATGCTGTTACCAGCACTGCTGCTGCTGCTGCCGCTGCTGTGCGTACCCGACAGCTGACGCTGGTGTTTGTTTCGTCGCTGCATGCGGCGCACAGCCTCTTCATGCTGCTCTCCGCATTTCCCCCCGCCTCGTTGCCCTTCGCCTCTGCTGAGTTCTCCTCCCACCAGCCGCCGCTCTAGCACAGTTTGACTACGATGTTGTGCGTTCAAGACCGGCATGTGTGCTTCACCGAAGTGCTACTTACCAGCCTGAACATAGTGACTCGAGCTGTATACTCACCATGTATGACTCGCCTTATGCCAATCCACTTGTTGGATTCTATGGTTGGCCTTGGCGAATTATGTTGTGTGTGTTTAGTAGGGACTATAACTTACACACCTAGGTTCATTCTATGCGCTCACTTCATCTCTTATTATGGTATTTGTGAAAATCCTCGTCTGTTGCGGTACCCCTATTCCCTTGAAAGGAAAAGAGAGGCATCAGGCTTGCGGTACCTCAGAAGTGCTGCACTCACAAGACCGCCAATTGCATAATCAGAAATGTCAGCAGCAACCGCAATAGGGCGGATATTGACATGTTGCATCACGAAGAAGTGCTCGGGTCAACACTGAGATATGGGCATACACAATACACCCCTTCTACCACTATCATCACAGATAACCCCGGCTTCTTCAGGTACATAGAAAGCATCTCTCACAACCGCTAGAGTGCTCTAATCAGACAACAGACTGCCGTGGTCACGACTCGCAAGCACTGCAATGTGCAGCACCAGTAGAGGCATGCACAGTGAGATTGCCTTATGTTCTGGCACTGCAGCATGTGGGTCTCGGCCCGCCACACAGCAACATGGCCTGCCTTTCCCTGCACCACTCTGCACTCCCCCAGCCCACAGCAGCGCCGCCCAGCCGTGCCCCACCTTGCATGCCTTGACGTGCGCTGCCGCCAGCATTATTACCAGCCTGCCTTCCCCTCCTGCATCACGCTCTGCGACATCCTGTTGACACTACCAATCTCCATATCCTGCCACGCGCCTGCCAACCTTCACCCTGTGCTTGCCTTTCCCCCTTCCTCCCACGGCACGCCGCACTGACCATGCCGCTCAGCAAACTCCCTTACCCCTGCCCCATGATCCACCTTCAACTCCTTGCACGCAAAAGTGTTGACTGTCAGGCAGAGCAGCTTCAAAGTATGGGGCAGTAGGGGAGGCTGAAGGCAGTCCCGACAGGAGGCTGCCTCACAGCTCCACCAAAAGAAAAGCCCATCTTGCAGAACCCGCCGAAGAGCAGTAATGCTCCATGAGTGGCGTGGCGGTGGCGAAGGTTCGTCTCTGGGCAGATCCAGTCGAAAACCGGCTGGATGCGGGGCTTCGATGGCCTGCCGCGAGGAAACAGAGGAGCAAAGGGGGAGGGAATGGGGAGAGAGTTGAGTGAGCAGACGAGCAATAGGGACTGCGTTGGCATGTTGAAACGCACATGGTGTGGGGGAGGTGGGAGGGAAGGCGTGGGCAGCAGGCGACGGGCACAAGAGGCGGCGGCATTGCGGCAGGGATGGGCGAGAGTGCGAGAGCGCGGCGCTCATCACTTGTGCCGGGGGAATCCAGTCGTCGAAGAACTTGAGCATGAGCGTATTGCTGCACGCGGTGTAGAGATCGCCTTTGGCGACGACGGGGCGTGAGTTGGCACTCCCCTAGGCTTGGCATGTCAGAATGTGATATTTGTCTAGCTTGAAGTGGGGTACTCTATAGCGGGTATAGCCCAAATTAGGGTTTACTATATGTACTCAACTGCCTGCTAGTGCAAACCCTCTTTTCTATTCTATCATTCCTGCCTAGACTTCTGACATGGTTTCAGAGCGGTTACGCTCCTGGCCTGTGGGCCCACCGTTAGCTTCCGCTGCTGTCCTGTCTGTCGCGCGCCCCGTGGCGCGCGACGTTTTTTCTTCCCGCCACGCGCTCGGGGCGCATGGCGGTTTTCTGCCCGCCGCGCGCTCGGGGCGCGCGGCGGTTTTCTGCCCGCCGTGCGCCCCGAGGCGCGCGGCGGTTTCCTGCCCCGCGCGTTCCCCCCCCCCCACCCCCCCCCCCCGTCGACCGTCGCGTCGCCCCTGGGGACCCGCGCGCGCCCCCCGCAATCCCGTCGCGTCGCCCTGAGGACCCGCACGCGGCCCCCGAAATCCTGTCGCGTCGCTCAGGGGACCCGCGCGCGGCCCCTGCCATCCCGTCGCGCCGCCCTGGGGACCCGCGCGCGCCCCCTGCGCTCTCGTCGTGCCGCCCTGGGGACCCGCGCGCGCCCCCTCCGCTCCCGTTGCGCCGCCCTGGGGACCCGCGCGCGCCCCCCGTGCTCCTGGTGCGCCGCCCCGTGCTGCAGGTGTTAGGGTTTGGGGGTGGCGAGTGTGGGGGTGTGTGCGCCGTCTCCCACTGCTGCAGCTGCCGCTGAGGGGGGTGGATGTGTGGGAGCCGTCGGAGTGGTACTAGGGGGGTGGCGTGTGAGCAGTGCTAGGGGTACAGCAGGGGGTGTGTGAAAGGGGTGTGGGACAGTTGGGGGAGGTTGAGTGGAGGCAGCCGTCTTGTCGTCCGCAGCGCCTGTAGTCCGGGGCCCTTGCCGCTGGTAGCCCAGCGAGCCTGCTGCGCCAGTCGCCCGTGGGTCAGTTGCTCCTGCCGCTCGTCTTAGCCACAGAGCCAGGTACTCCTGTAGTCCGGGGCCCTTGCCACCGGTAGCCACCGTGCGCGCCGCTCCTGTTGCCCGTGTGTCTGCGGCTTCACCCGTCGCCTCCTATCTCCACTCCTCTCACAGTCCCTCCTCCTCCTCACTTGCCCTCTGTGACTGCCTCTAGTTTTGCTTGTACTTGTGAACCTGCTCTATGACTGCTTGCTGTGCTGATTATACCCCACTTTGACTATAGGGGTATGTCAGAATGTGATATTTGTCTAGCCTGCAGTGGGGTACTCTATAGCGAGTATAGCCCAAATTAGGGTTTACTATATGTACTCAACTGCCTGCTAGTGCAAACCCTCTTTTCTGTTCTATCATTCCTGCCTAGACTTCTCACATGGCAGCGGGTTGACTTGCCAGAGAATGGCGTTATCAGTGATTATCACGTCAAACCGCTCCTCCAACATGCTCCGCGCCGCGTACACCTTCCGCCACACCTGCGCGCGGATGAGAAGGGAAGGATTTGAGGCGGTAAAGTGGGTGAGGATGAAGGAAGCAGAACAGAGGATGAGGGGAAGGGAGGGCAGAGGATGAGGGAAGGGAGGGCAGAGGATGAGGGGAAGCAGGGCAGGGGTAGGGAGGAAGCAGTGCATAGGGTGGGGAAAGCAGGTTCAGTGAAATGGCTAACACAGAGACAGGGAACAGGGAGAAAGGGGGAGGCATGGAAGGAGATGGGGGAAAGCAGGGAAGGGGATGGGATGAAGCAGGGAACGGGATAGGGGAAACAGGAACGGGATGGGGGGAAGCAGGGAAGGGGATACGGGGAAACAGGGAAGGGGATGGGGGGAAGGAGGGAATGGGATGGGGGGAAGCAGGGAAAGGGATGGGGGGAAGGAGGGAAGGGGATGGGGGGAAGCAGGGAAGGGGATGGGGGGAAGCAGGGAAGGGGATGGGGGGAAGCAGAAAAGGGGTTGGGGGAAAGCAGGGCAAGGGTTGGGGGGAAGCACGGAAGGGGATAGGGGAAAGCATGGAAGGGGATAGGGGAAAGCAGGGAAGGGGATGGGGGGAAGCACGAGAGAAGGGGATAGGGGGATGCAGGGAACGGGATGGGGGGAAGCAGGGAAGGGGATGGGGGGAAGCAGGGAAGGGGATGGGGGGAAGCAGAAAAGGGGTTGGGGGAAAGCAGGGCAAGGGTTGAGGGGAAGCAGGGAAGGGGATGTGGGGAAGCAGGGAAGGGGATGGGGGGAAGCAGGGAAGGGGATGGGGGGAAGCAGGGAAGGGGATGGGGGGAAGCAGTGAAAGGGATGGGGGAAGCAGGGAAGGGGATGGGGGGAAGCAGGGAAGGGGATGGGGGGAAGCAGGGAACGGGACATGGGGAAGCAGGGGAGGGGATGGGGGGAGGCAGGGAAGGGGATGGGAAGAAGCAGAGAAGGGGATGGGGGGAAGCAGGGAAGGGGATGGGGGGAAGCAGGGAAGGGGATGGGGGGAAGCAGGGAAGGGGATGGGGGGAAGCAGGGAAGGGGATGGGGGGAAGCAGGGAAGGGGATGGGGGGAAGCAGGGAAGGGTGACAAGTGTGCGCGATGGGAAGGGAGACGGGAGGGATGGCGAGGGCGACGGGGAGAGAGGAAGACGGGGATTGCGAGAGGACGAGCGGGAGGAAGGGCGACAAGACGAAGGGAAGGCTACGGGCGAAAGGGAGAGCGGCGTGCGGAAGGGAGAGCGACGGGCGGAAGGGTGGGCGACGGGCGGAAGGGAGAGCGACAGGCGGAAGGGATAGCGACGGGCGGAAGGGGGGGTGACGCGCGGAAGGGAGGGCAACGGGCGAAAGGGAGGGCGACGGGCGCCAGGGAGGGTGACGGGAGCGACGATCGGATGAGAGGGCGACGCGTGGAAGGTAGAGCGACGAGCGGATGGGAGGGCGACGGGCGAAAGGTAGAGCAACGAGCAGGGCGACGCACGGAAGGGAGTGCGGCGAATGGTAGGGAGCGACGGTTGGAAGCGTGGGCGACAAATAGGTAGGAGCGCGATCGTGGACGACGCGAGGAAACGAGTAACAGGAGCCAAAGAACCGAAAGCGTCGCGTGCTAGCGAGGGCGAATGGGGGAACCTAAGCGACCAGAAACCTAGCTCTAGACCAGGGAGAATATAGCAGGAGCATCGTCCGCGTGTTCATATATGAGTTGTGTGCAAAAACGGAGTGTTTTTTGTCAGAATGTGATATCTATCCAGCCTGCAGTGGGTTACTCTATAGCGAGTATAGCCCAAATTAGGGTTTACTATATGTACTCAACTGCCTGCTAGTGCAAACCTCTCTTTTCTGTTCTAAACTTCTGTCTACTATTTTGACATGCTATCAGAGCACGTCGACCCTCCCTGGTCTATCCTGTGGATGGGCCCACCGTTAGCTTCCGCTGCTGTCCTACCTGTCGCGCGCCTCGGATGCGCGACGTCTTCTGCTTGCCGCGCGCCCTGCGCGCGTGGCATTTTTTTTGCCCGCCACGCGCGCGGGGCGCGTGGCGGTTTCCTGCCCGCCGCGCGCCCCGGGCGCGCGCGGCGGATACGTAGCCCGTCGCGGCGCCCCGGGGGCCCGCACGCCGTCCCCTCCCGTCGCCCGTCGCGGTGCCCTGGGGGCCCGCGTGTCGCCCCCCATCCCGTCGCCCGTCGCGGCGTCCTGGGGGCCCGCGCGCCGCCCCCTCCCGTCGCGCGTCGCGACGCCCTGGGGGCCCGCGCGCCGCCCTGCCCGTCGCCCGTCGAAGCGCCCCAGGGATCCGCGCGCCGCCCCGCTTCCGCTCGCACACTGCCCCAGCTGCTGCCCACATATCTGCCCCGCGCCGTGCGCGCGCCGCCTGCGTTTAGGGTATGGGGGTGGCGGGTATAGGGGTGGCGGGTGTGTGAGTCCTCCCCTGCTCCTCCTCCTCCTCCGTCTCCCACTGTTGCAGCTACCGCTGAGGGGGGTGGATGTGTGGGAGCCGTCGGAGTGGCGCTAGGGGGGTGTTGTGGGAGTGGAGCTAGGGGTGCAGCAAGGGGTGTGTGAAAGGGGTGTGGGACAGTTGGGGGAGGTTGAGCGGAGGGTAGCCATCGTGACGTCAGCAGCGCCAGTAGTCCGGGGCCCTTGCCACTGGTAGCCCAGCGAGCCTGCTGCGCCAGTCGCCCGTGGGTCCGTTGCTCCTGCCGCTCGTCTTAGCGCGGAGCCAGTTACTCCTGTAGTCCGGGGCCCTTGCCACCGGTAGCCACCGTGCGCGCCGCTCCTGTTGCCCGTGTGTCTGCGGCTTCACCCGTCGCCTCCTATCTCCACTCCTCTCACAGTTCCTCCTCCTCCTCACTTGCCCTCTGTGACTACCTCTAGCTTTGCTTGTACTTGTGAACCTGCTCTATGTTTGACTATGAGGGTGTGTCAGCATGTGATATCTGTCTAGCCTGCAGTGGGGTACTCTATAGCTAATATAGCCCAAATTAGGGTTTACTATATGTACTCAACTGCCTGCTAGTGCAAACCTCTCTTTTCTGTTATAAACTTCTGTCTACTATTTTGACATTTTTTTGGGCGTGAATGATGGGTGAACTATGTCTAGTATGCTTGACAATCAGTACAAGATGGTTTTCAAGTTCAGTTCAAGTGAACAGTGCTGCCTTGCCAGCTGACCCTCTGCTCGATATGACTTTGAGTGTCGCTGGCCAATCACAGATCACTATCGTGAGAGAATGCTCTACTTCGTGTGGTAACATGGTTTTTGGCGAATTCATATTCAGGAATCTTGAACTTGAAAACAGCCATGTGGAACTTGGGCTTTAAGTGGTTCGCACCAAATCACTTATGAACCGCTTCAAACAACTTTTAAACCCTTCTGAACCACTTACGCTTCTCCCCGAACCACTTCCGAACCGCCACCGCACCTTTCGCTAGCCTTTCGAACCTCGCTACCCCGAGGTTCTCGCCTAGCTCGATTTTGCTTATAAAATCTCTTTTTAAACATTCACACGGCATTCAATAGCACTCTTCAGCCTTCAATAACATTCTTCTAGACGGGCACTCATAACGAGTCACATTTTCGAAATAGCCTTGGGCATAACCCCCTGGCTAGGCTGAAGGAGGTGTGGCAGGGCTGAAGGAGGTGTGGCAGGGCTGAAGGAGGTGTGGCAGGGCTGAAGGAGGTGTGGCAGGGCTGAAGGAGGTGTGGCAGGGCTGAAGGAGGTGTGGCAGGGCTGAAGGAGGTGTGGCAGGGGTGAAGGAGGTGTGACAGGGCTGAAGGAGGTGTGGCAGGGCTGAAGGAGGTGTGGCAGGGCTGAAGGAGGTGTGGCAGGGCTGAAGGAGGTGTGGCAGGGCTGAAGGAGGTGTGGCAGGGGTGAAGGAGGTGTGACAGGGCTGAAGGAGGTGTGGCAGGGCTGAAGGAGGTGTGGCAGGGCTGAAGGAGGTGTGGCAGGGCTGAAGGAGGTGTGGCAGGGCTGAAGGAGGTGTGGCAGGGCTGAAGGAGGTGTGGCAGGGCTGAAGGAGGTGTGGCAGGCGGTGCACAGTGGGAGGGCCAAGTGTGTGGTGCTGGCACCCAATGTGGAAGAGGTGTGTGGTACAGGTGAGGGAGAGAAGGGCGGCTTGGGGAGCAATGGTGAGGGGTGTGAGTGATGGTAGTGCACAAATGAGTGGGGTAAGGGGAGCGACAGAGGGAAGGGGAGTGGCAGAGACAAGGGGAGTGGCAGAGACAAGGGGAGCGGACATCTGAGTCGTTTCTGAGAATTCTCAAATGCGTTTGCCCCGAACCAACCCAGTGCTCTCGTTCCCGTCATGGCGCTGCTTCCTTCCCTCCTTCTGTCATACTTCTCGGGTCATTCTCAGGTGAGTCTCAGTTCAGTCTCAGATCGTTCTCGAGCCAGTCTCGAGTCACTCAAATCTCAGGTCACCCTCGGTGTTGTATGCCTTACGAATGCCCTGCCCTGGTGTTACCCAAGGTGGCAACACGGCACGCTGAAAGTACGCAACATCGCTCCCTTCTTCCTCCCCTCTTCCCGTCTCTCACACCCACCTCACTCGCATTTCCCTCTGGCCCCACCTGGGCTGTCCCACCTGCATCGCCCACCGTCAACCCCTCCCCAAACACTCACTGTGTTCAAGCCCAAACCTACTTTCACACCCACCCACCTTACCAAACTCTCCCTCTGACTGAACCCTCATGGCCTCTCCCACCCACCGGCCTCTCTGCGCTACTGCCCGCTCTTCTTCTCATCACCCTCCAGCTGTGCATATCAGACGTCACTCTGTATCACTGTCCCCCCTTCCTGTTCCCCAGTCTGCTCCTCTGTCCCTTCCCCTGCCCCATCCCCTCCCCCGGCCTCTCCCCCCATCTTCTTCCCCTTCAACGTCCCCATCCCCCCCATTCCCATCTCCATACTTTTCCCGCTTTTGGGTGTGTATGGTGCAACCAGTGGCCTGCATCATTCGCCCCTCTCATTGCTCTCTTCTTTTGTCCCTCTGTTCCCCACTGCCACCCTTCTCCCTCTCCCAACCCCTCCCCCCAGCTGTACCCCAGCTCTGCACTGCACCTACTTCTCCTAAGGCCACGTCTGCCCCTCTGCACGGACACCCCCCCACACAGCACATGCACACTGTTCACCACGGGCCAAAGCACTATCCCCTCCCTTCCCCATACCGTCTCCTCTCTTCCCCCCTCCCACCTCCTCGCGTGCTTCTCCCTGGCCAATGTCTCACAGACTCCGGCTCGCACAGTGGCACGCCTCTCCTACGAAGAGCAGCTGCGAGCTCCCCACCTCTTCCCCATACTCCTGCTCATACACTGGCAATGCACCGCACTGCTATCGCCTGCGCACTTTCCCTTCGTCTCCCCTTTCCACCTCCTCCAACCCTTCACCCGTGCACTGTTCCTTCCGGCTCCGCACCGCACTGAACCTGCTTTTCCTGCATCGCACCCATGTGCGCCCCATGAGTGCTTGCCCCTGCAACATGGGCGCAGTATTCATGGGGAACCTGCACACTGTTGCGGGTGTGCACTGATGTCTGGCCAATAAGTTCCCCCCGCCCCAAGAGCACTCCTTGCCAAGCCTGCAACCAACGCACCTTCTCTTGCAACATCTATTACCCTCTCCCATTCCCCCTCCAGCCTCCATCCACCAACTCCGCACCTGCTTCTCGCACTCCGAATTCTGGTCCACCTCATGCCTCTCACCTCATGCCTCTCACCTCATGCCTCTCACCTCATGCCTCTCACCTCATGCCTCTCACCTCATGCCTTGCGCCCATCTCTTACGCACTCACCAGGCAAACAGCCTGCTGACGTTTTGGCTGAAGCATTTATGACAGGAGCAGGCGGGCTGGAGGCAGTAAGGTATCGAGAGCAGGGATGGGGGCATGAGAGAGGGGAGGAGATGATGGGTGATGGGGCAGTGGAGAGTGATGTTAAGATGCGGCTAGTGCCTCAGAGCCAACTTTCAGGGGCTCAGTGCACTGTGATGCGCTGCAGTGCGATGTTGATGGTGCACTTGCCGAGGTTTGTGGAAGCAGATGGATGGGGGGGTGATGGCCTCAGAAAGGAGCAGGCAGCGCATCCCCACCCAGGCTGGGCGCGATGAATGTAGATGAAGGGAGATGATGGGAGGTGAAGCAGACACGGTAGGTGCAATCTGTGGAGCAGAGGTGATGCAAGGCGCAATTGACCACACACAAGGAGGAGAGAGGGAGGTGGGGAAAGTACATACAGGAACTCAGCACGCTGCCATACGCGCACACCTGCTCCCTTCCCACCAGACAAGGCCCAGCCGCCCTCCCCTCTGGGAGGTGGGTGAAACAACACCCTGGATCATGCCATGTGGGTTCTGATAATGCTCTGAAACCAGCTGTAACAGTGGTTGTGAGGGAAGGAGTGGGGGGGAGCATAGGGTCGCTTTGGAATGCCATGATCATGCCATGTCATGGCACCCTGGATCATGCCATTTGGGTTCTGAGAAGCTCAGATGCGGTGCATGCTCAGCAGACAGGCTTGCACCCTGATGCATTCTTGAGTCCGACCAGTTTGAACCGCTGTGCAGTGCACTCACCACCGCCACGATCCCACCTCCATCTCACTCCCACCACCATCTCACTCCCACCACCATCTCACTCCCACCATCTCACATAGCGGTCGCGTAAAAGCGACAGACAGGGAGACGACAGAGCGACGGACGTCGACAATACCGCGACTGTCGGCGGTGAAAAAGGAACAGTGGACGAGGAGCAGCAGACAAGCGACGGTAGAAGACGAGAGAGCGAAGAGCGACGACAAACGACGAGCGACGAGTGACGGTCGACAACGGGTGATGATAGACGACGAGCGAGCGACTGTAGATCATGATAACGATTAAAATCGATTCGCTATGGCGGGGTGCCGCGAAAGCAGAGGAGCGAAGAGCAGCAGCAATGGCGAGCGACGCAAGCACGGGTGCGCAGGCAGGGCTTCCGGTGGGGGCAGCTGCCGAGACAGCGGCGGCGACGGCGGCGGGGACACCGGCGGAGGCAGCCGCGTCGCTGCGAGCAGCACAGGTCAGAGCGGCGGCAACGGCGGTGGTGGCGTGAAGAGGGGGAGAAGCCCGCGCCACTGCGACAGAGCGACGAACATGCAATGACAGAGCGCGACGTACTGTGATGAGAGAGTGACGGACTGCGACGATTGAGCAACAATCGACGGAGATAAAGCGGCAAAGACTGTTTTGCGATGGTGGAGAGCCGCGGCAGCAGATGCGCGAGGCAAAGCGGCAATGGCGGGTGGGGCCAGCATGCGCGCGCAGGGGGAGCTCCCAGCTGCGGAGGCGGGCCGAAACAGTGGAGGCGACGGTGGCGGCAGCGGCAGCGGCCGCATGTGTCGCTGTGATCAGCACAGGCCGGAGTGGCGGCGGCAGCGCGAAAAGGGAGCGCCATCTTGTACTTGCCAGACGAGGGTAGCAGTGATGGGGGTAGCAGTGACGGGGGTAGCAGTGACGGGGGTAGCAGTGACGTGGGTAGCAGTGACGAGGGTAGCAGTGACGGGGGTAGCAGTGACGGGGGTAGCAGTGACGGGGGTAGCAGTGACGGGGGTAGCAGTGACGTGGGTAGCAGTGACGGGGGTAGCAGTGACGGGGGTAGCAGTGACGGGGGTAGCAGTGACGGGGGTAGCAGTGACGGGGGTGGCAGTGACGGGGGTAGCAGTGACGGGGGTAGCAGTGACGGGGGTAGCAGTGACGGGGGTAGCAGTGACGGGGGTAGCAATGATGGGGGTAGCAGTGATGGGGGTAGCAGTGACGGGGGTAGCAGTGATGGGGGTAGCAGTGACGGGGGTAGCAGTGACGGGGGTAGCAGTGACGGGGGTAGCAGTGACGGGGGTAGCAGTGATGGGTGGCCGCGCGGGGTTGGAAGGGAGGCGGAGCGGGGGGGGGAGGCGCAGGGAGGGGAGGGAAGAGGGGGATGCGAGCGCGTGTGGTTTGAGTTTGGCAGACGCGAGGCGAGGGGCAGGAGCAGGCGGAACAGGGGGTGGAGCAAGAGAGCAGAGGTGGGGCAGGCGGAGAGGTGGGGAAAGGCGGGAGAGAGGGAGGTGGGGAAAACATGCGATAGAAGCGAGAAGGTGGGGCGCGAGGGGGGGTGCGTTGGGGCTCGCGGGGAAGCCGGTGCGGGGAAGGGCGAGTGCGGGTGAACCCAGTTACCCAGGTACGTGGGTGGGAGAGCATGGGTGTGGGGGGGGGAAAGGAGAGGCAGACACCGAAGCAGAAGCGAGTGGTGGTGCTGGCGAGACAGGCACGGGGGGTGAGGGAGTGCTGTTCACGGGCGTGGAGGGACGTGAAGGAGCGCTGTTCACGGGCGTGGAGGGACGTGAAGGAGCGCTGTTCACGGGCGTGGAGGGACGTGAAGGAGCGCTGTTCACGGGCGTGGAGGGACGTGAAGGAGCGCTGTTCACGGGCGTGGAGGGACGTGAAGGAGCGCTGTTCACGGGCGTGGAGGGACGTGAAGGAGCGCTGTTCACGGGCGTGGAGGGACGTGAAGGAGCGCTGTTCACGGGCGTGGAGGGACGTGAAGGAGCGCTGTTCACGGGCGTGGAGGGACGTGAAGGAGCGCTGTTCACGGGCGTGGAGGGACGTGAAGGAGCGCTGTTCACGGGCGTGGAGGGACGTGGAGGGACATGCGGGGCTAGAGGGAGCTATGGCGATTGTTGGGAAGCTGGTTGAAGCACGTGAGGCATGAAAGAGGGTGTGCTGGCCCAACGGTGGGAGAGGGGAGGGTAGGGTCAGGAGTAGGGCGTCGAGTGGGGAGAGGTGAGAGTAGGGTCAGAGAGGGGTGGGACGGAGGGCGGTGGGTAGGATGGGAGGACGACAGGAGAGGAAGAAGCGGAGCGCAGGGATGACACGAGGGAGTGCAGGGATGACACGAGGGAGTGCAGGGATGACACGAGGGAGTGCAGGGATGACACGAGGGAGTGCAGGGATGACACGAGGGAGTGCAGGGATGACACGAGGGAGGAGGCACAGAGAATGGACGGGAGATTGGATGGGAACGGTGGATAGGTGAAGGCGAGGGAGGAGAACGGGAGGGGAGGAGAAAGAAGGGGAAGAGAAAAAAGGGCAACAAGGCAGCGCGATGAAAAGGGAAACTCAGCCGACCACTTCCATCGGCCTGGAGGCATGCAGCAGGTGAGGCGCTGAGGTGATCACTCGCCATTCAATGCCACTGAACACAATCGAGCTACGGCCATATGCGCCATACGCCTTGCCCTGGCGAGCTCATGTTTATAGCCTTGCCCCAACGCACCTGCCCGGCACCCCTCGCTGCACCCACCTCCTCCCCCACATCTCACCTCCTCCCTTTTACCCCCTCTCCTTTCTCCCACGCACCTCCCCCCTCGCCTTCGCCCCATTCCCAGGTACGCCCACCAGGTCGCCACATCGGAGCTGAACGGGCACTGCTGAACGCTCAGCACTGCTGGCAAGGCTGCTGCTCCGCACCGCCTTCCTCCTCCCTCCCAACCTCCCCCCTCTTTCCTTCCCCCCTCTTCGCTTCCAAGTTGCTTCGTTTCAGAAAGCCCCCCTCAGGTGAGACGGGGGGGAATGGGCATGGTTTTGAGTCAACTAAAAAAGGTATTGGGGGAACTGGGCATGGTTGTAAGTAGACCAGAAGAAGACAGGAGGTTTTGTGCAAGGGGGGAAAAGGGCATGCTGCGGTTTCAAGTCAGGGCGTTTCCCCTTTCCATCCCCCTTTCCCCCTCCCCATTCCCCTCCGCCCTCCACATCAACCCCTCCTTTCCTCGAGAGAAGCAGGGTGTGATGTGGAGGCGGAGGGTACTAGCAGGGTTGATGGAGTAGGAGGTCCCTCCTACCTCTCCACACCCCCCCTCCCTCTCCACAGCCCCTCCTCTTTTCTCCCCCCTCACCTAACTCCTCCCTCCTCCCTCATGTGCAGGGAGTGACACGGAGGCGCATGCTATTGGAGCCCAAGTAGTTGGGACAGGCGGTGTGGGGCTGAAGAAGATTACTCCCTCTCCACTTTCCCACGCCCCTCCCACTTAACCCCTCCGCGCACAGGGAGTGATGCGGCGGCGTGTGCTGGCAGGGGTGAAGGAGGTGGGGCAGGCGGTGCGCTGTGGGAGGGCCAAGCATGGTGTTGGTGGCTCATATGCAGCCTGGGACAGGTGAAGGGGGTGCTAAAAAGTGAGAGACCGGGTAGTGATTGTCATTGTGATGCTTATTGTGTGTGTGTGTGTTGTGTGTGTGGTGACTGGGACAGGTGAGTGTGGGGAGGTAAGCGGAGTGAAAAAGGGGAGAGGGAAAGGGGGATGGTGGGATGATGATGCGAGAGTTTTTTTTTTTTTTTTTTTTTTTTTTCAACAGTCGAATTACCCCTATCCAACTCTCCTCCCCTCCGCCCTCTCACCAGGCGGATTTGACGCGGCCTTCCTTGTGTCTATCCTAAGAATTGCAGTGTGTCCAGTTTTAACCAATACAACCCATGCACGGCATTCATCCTATCAGATGCCGCCACACGCAGCGTTCCCGGCTCAAACCTTCCCCACTTACCCAACCCTTCCCTCCTCCAATTCACCATTCTCCAGGCGGTGTTGACGCTCTCTCCCGGCGCCGCCTCACCAAGGTGAGTGCAGGCCACCACAATTATGGGATTTCTCTCTGGTTATCAACTGTGGTAACCTCGTTTGTTGACTTCACAAGTTCACATGGTAACCTCACTCAATGACCTCCCTCCCTCCTTGCTAAGCTTGAATGGGCCGCTCTGCCGCATTGCCCTCACCCTCTCCTCACCTCGTTTCTGTGCATCGCGAAAAGCAACTCTCACTCTCCTGCGGTTCAATCTCTCTCTGCCCATGTTGTCGCACGAATGCTGTGGCAATTATGGGTCGACTGGCTGTGCTTGTCTTGCACACTCCTTACCCAGTCGCAGCCTCTTCTCCCAACGTGGCATTTGCCTTATCCACACCTTTCACCTACCTCACATCACATCCCGCCCTGCCAGGCATTGAATTGCCCGCCTTCGCATGAGTGCCGTGGCCATTCTGGGCTGTGCTTGTGCCCCTTTCCCTTCCCCAACCCTTGCCATTTCTCCCTGTCTGTCACAATATGATCTTAGCTTAGGAAACGTAGGAACAAGCCTTGGGAGCCATGGCTAGGTTACAAACGTAGCGTGAGCGTGAGAGCGAGAGTTAGGCCAAAAGAAGGGTTTCACTATAGTTCGGAAGGTACAAATAGGAAATGCAAGCAAGCAATGAGGTACACCACCAACAGTAAACTACACAACAAGCAGTTCACATAGAAATTACATTTCAGCACTCCCAGCGTAGCTCGGGCCTTATCCACTCCACACCTTCCAACCTCACATCCCTCCGTACCAGACTCAAAAGGGCAGCGACAGGGCCGTGCTTACCGTGCAGTGCCTTCACCCATTCCACCTCTTATCCCTGCATTCCACCTCTTGTCAGGTGAAAGGGGTGGTAAAAGGTGAGAGACGGGGTAATGGTTGTCATTCTGAAGCTTTTTATATTGCCTGCTGTCGCCATGAGTGCCGTGGCCATTATGGTCAGCGACGGGGCTGTGCTTGTACGCCTTGCCCTTCCGCACTCCTTGCCATTTCTCCCAGCGCGGCTCGGGCCATGTCTACACCACACCTTCCACTAACCTCACATCCCGCCCTACCAGATTTAGAAGGGGAGCGACAGGGCCGTGCTTGCCTTTCAGAGCCATCACCCATTCCACCTCTTATCCCTGCATTCCCCCATCTCCTGTCTTCCTGCCAGGCCTTGAACCTCCCGTGCTGCGCTGCCGAATGAGTGCCGTGGCCATTCTGGACGACAATGGGGCGCACAGGCTGCTGAAGAGCGTGCGAGCAGAGGCAGAGAATGCGAGGGAGCTGTGGGGGGATGGGCAGGAAGGGCAGGAAGCAGATGATGTGTGAGTGGTGGGAAGAAAGCGCAGGCACTTTACGCACACCCATGGGCGCACTGGTTCCTCAAGTGTCTGCCGGCGGAGGCAGATGGATGGGGGGGTCACTTACTGCGGTCAAATGCGGAGTCCTGCCACAAGTGAGAATTTCCAACCTACATCCCCATGGTGGCACTTTGGGCTGTGTTGTATGCCCTTTATACAGTGTAAAAACGTAAAGCTACCCCGAGGTCCTCGCCTAGCTCGACTCTGCCTACATAATCTGGTTTGGAACAATCATTGGGCATTCAGTAGAGCTTTTCAGCTTTCACATTTTAGTGCATTTCAGCTAATTTGTGTAACACGCCCACTCATAAAGAATCACATCCATTTGGCCTAACATGGAGTCACAGGAGCCGCGTCTCGTTCGGGAAGTGAGAGCTTGGTCGGATAGTGATCGATAGCGGTCGCACCAAAACGACATCCAGGGCGACGACAGCGACGGACGGCGACGAAATAGCGACAATTGACGGAGAAAAAATAGACAGTAGGCGACGAGCGAGGGACAGTAGACCACGAGAGCGATGGTAGGCGACGGGCGGAAGACAGTAGTCGACGAAAGCGATAGTAAGCGACGGGCGGAAGACAGTAGTCGACGAAAGCGATAGTAAGCGACGGGCGGAAGACAGTAGTCGACGAAAGCGATAGTAAGCGACGGGCGGAAGACAGTAGTCGTCGAAAGCGATAGTAAGCGACGGGCGGAAGAAAGTAGTCGACGAAAGCGATAGTAAGCGACGGGCGGAAGACAGTAGTCGACGAAAGCGATAGTAAGCGACGGGCGGAAGACAGTAGTCGACGAAAGCGATAGTAAGCGACGGGCGGAAGACAGTAGTCGTCGAAAGCGATAGTAAGCGACGGGCGGAAGAAAGTAGTCGACGAAAGCGATAGTATGCGACGGGCGGAAGACAGTAGTCGACGAAAGCGATAGTAAGCGACGGGCGGAAGACAGTAGTCGACGAAAGCGATAGTAAGCGACGGGCGGAAGACAGTAGTCGACGAAAGCGATAGTAAGCGACGGGCGGAAGACAGTAGTCGACGAAAGCGATAGTAAGCGACGGGCGGAAGACAGTAGTCGACGAAAGCGATAGTAAGCGACGGGCGGAAGACAGTAGTCGTCGAAAGCGATAGTAAGCGACGGGCGGAAGAAAGTAGTCGACGAAAGCGATAGTATGCGACGGGCGGAAGACAGTAGTCGACGAAAGCGATAGTAAGCGACGGGCGGAAGACAGTAGTCGACGAAAGCGATAGTAAACGACGAGCGAGAGAGTGGAGAACGAGCGAGGGACCGGCGGGAGCGATTCATTTCGATTCGCGATGTCGGAGAGCCGCGACAGCAGAGGGGCAATGACGCGTGGGGCAAGCACTCGCGCGCCAGCGGGCTGTCGGAAAAGGCAACGCGTCGCTGCGATCAGCGAAGGCTGAAGCGGCGGCGGTGGCGGCGGCGGTATCGGCGGTGTGAAGAGGCGACGGAAACCCACGCCAGTTGCGCCCCGCCTGGATCATTCCCTCTCCGCTGCCACCAGCGCCAGCGCCGGCGCCACCACCTCTGCGCGCGAGCCCCTTCCGCCGCCTCCTCGAGAGCTCGCGCAAATCGGTGTGCGCGCTAGAGTGGGAGGGAGTGTAGATTGGGCGGAAGTGTAGAGAGGGAAGGAGAGGCGGAGCGGGGAGGGGAGGCGCAGGGTGATATGGCCGCGCGTGGTTTGGGTTTGGCGGAAACGTGGGGAGGGATGGGAGAAAAGGGAGTAGGGGGCGCAGCAAGTGAGCGGAGGAAGGCAGAAGGGGCATGCGGCGGGGTGGGGAAGGGCGGGAGAGAGGAAATGGGGGAGACTGCGCGTCAGGGGCTCCAGGGGGAACGAGACGGGGAGAGGTGCGGGTAGAGGGGCATGAGCGGGGAACGAGGGGGAGCAGGGGATGGGACGCGGGAGAGAGTGGGGGGAGGGGCGGGTGCGGGTGAAGGCAACAAAGTGGAGAGCATGGGTGTGAGGCGGGGGGGAAGGAGAGGCAGACACCGAAGCAGAAGCGAGTGAGCCGCTTGAAACGCACGGTGGGGGTGGGGGAGGCGGAGAAGGGGTAGAATGAGGAGAATGGGGAGGAGGAGGGAACAGGGGAGGGGGTGGGGGAACGGGAGAGAAAGGGGGACGAAGTGGGGGAGGGAGCGAGGAAGAGGAGGGAGAGAGGGAGAGTGGGGGGGAGGAGGAGGAGGAGGAGGAGGAGGAGGAGGAGGAGGAGGAGGAGGAGGAGGAGGAGGAGGAGGAGGAGGAGGAGGAGGAGGAGGAGGGTGGGAGGAACGGAGGATATGGGGGATTGGTGGAGCAGGAGAGGCGTGAAGGGGGTTGTGTTGGCACAGCGGTGCAAGTGGGAGAGCCAAGCGTGGGGTCTGCGGGGGTAGAGGCGAGGGGGGGATGAGGGGAGGGTGCAATGGAGAGAAGAAGGGAGGAGAGGAGAGCGGCGGGAAGAAGCAGAGTGCAGTGGAGAGTCGATTGAAGGGGGAAAGGGATTGGACAGGCGAGTGGATGGATGGGGGTGGCAAGGCAAAGGTGAAGGACGAGAAAGGGAGGAGAGAAGCGGCAAGGGAAGGGGCAGGAATGGAGGAGAAGGAAGGGGAGGAGAAGGGAGGGGAGGCAAACTCGGCCGACCACTTACAGTGGCGTGAAGGCATTCAGCAGGTGAGTCGACTGTGCGAAACAATGGCGGGGAGACATTCAGCAGGTGAGTCGACTGTGCGAAACAATGGCGGGGAGACATTCAGCAGGTGAGTCGACTGTGCGAAACAATGGCGGGGAGACATTCAGCAGGTGAGTCGACTGTGCGAAACAATGGCGGGGAGACATTCAGCAGGTGAGTCGACTGTGCGAAACAATGGCGGGGAGACATTCAGCAGGTGAGTCGACTGTGCGAAACAATGGCGGGGAGACATTCAGCAGGTGAGTCGACTGTGCGAAACCATGGCGGGGAGACATTCAGCAGGTGAGTCGACTGTGCGAAACAATGGCGGGGAGACATTCAGCAGGTGAGTCGACTGTGCGAAACAATGGCGGGGAGACATTCAGCAGGTGAGTCGACTGTGCGAAACAATGGCGGGGAGACATTCAGCAGGTGAGTCGACTGTGCGAAACAATGGCGGGGAGACATTCAGCAGGTGAGTCGACTGTGCGAAACAATGGCGGGGAGACATTCAGCAGGTGAGTCGACTGTGCGAAACAATGGCGGGGAGACATTCAGCAGGTGAGTCGACTGTGCGAAACAATGGCGGGGAGACATTCAGCAGGTGAGTCGACTGTGCGAAACAATGGCGGGGAGACATTCAGCAGGTGAGTCGACTGTGCGAAACAATGGCGGGGAGACATTCAGCAGGTGAGTCGACTGTGCGAAACAATGGCGGGGAGACATTCAGCAGGTGAGTCGACTGTGCGAAACAATGGCGGGGAGACATTCAGCAGGTGAGTCGACTGTGCGAAACAATGGCGGGGAGACATTCAGCAGGTGAGTCGACTGTGCGAAACAATGGCGGGGAGACATTCAGCAGGTGAGTCGACTGTGCGAAACAATGGCGGGGAGACATTCAGCAGGTGAGTCGACTGTGCGAAACAATGGCGGGGAGACATTCAGCAGGTGAGTCGACTGTGCGAAACAATGGCGGGGAGACATTCAGCAGGTGAGTCGACTGTGCGAAACAATGGCGGGGAGACATTCAGCAGGTGAGTCGACTGTGCGAAACAATGGCGGGGAGACATTCAGCAGGTGAGTCGACTGTGCGAAACAATGGCGGGGAGACATTCAGCAGGTGAGTCGACTGTGCGAAACAATGGCGGGGAGACATTCAGCAGGTGAGTCGACTGTGCGAAACAATGGCGGGGAGACATTCAGCAGGTGAGTCGACTGTGCGAAACCATGGCGGGGAGACATTCAGCAGGTGAGTCGACTGTGCGAAACAATGGCGGGGAGACATCCAGCAGGTGAGTCGACTGTGCGAAACAATGGCGGGGAGACATTCAGCAGGTGAGTCGACTGTGCGAAACAATGGCGGGGAGACATTCAGCAGGTGAGTCGACTGTGCGAAACAATGGCGGGGAGACATTCAGCAGGTGAGTCGACTGTGCGAAACAATGGCGGGGAGACATTCAGCAGGTGAGTCGACTGTGCGAAACCATGGCGGGGAGACATTCAGCAGGTGAGTCGACTGTGCGAAACAATGGCGGGGAGACATTCAGCAGGTGAGTCGACTGTGCGAAACCATGGCGGGGAGACATTCAGCAGGTGAGTCGACTGTGCGAAACAATGGCGGGGAGACATTCAGCAGGTGAGTCGACTGTGCGAAACAATGGCGGGGAGACATTCAGCAGGTGAGTCGACTGTGCGAAACCATGGCGGGGAGACATTCAGCAGGTGAGTCGACTGTGCGAAACAATGGCGGGGAGACATTCAGCAGGTGAGTCGACTGTGCGAAACAATGGCGGGGAGACATTCAGCAGGTGAGTCGACTGTGCGAAACAATGGCGGGGAGACATTCAGCAGGTGAGTCGACTGTGCGAAACAATGGCGGGGAGACATTCAGCAGGTGAGTCGACTGTGCGAAACAATGGCGGGGAGACATTCAGCAGGTGAGTCGACTGTGCGAAACAATGGCGGGGAGACATTCAGCAGGTGAGTCGACTGTGCGAAACAATGGCGGGGAGACATTCAGCAGGTGAGTCGACTGTGCGAAACAATGGCGGGGAGACATTCAGCAGGTGAGTCGACTGTGCGAAACAATGGCGGGGAGACATTCAGCAGGTGAGTCGACTGTGCGAAACAATGGCGGGGAGACATTCAGCAGGTGAGTCGACTGTGCGAAACAATGGCGGGGAGACATTCAGCAGGTGAGTCGACTGTGCGAAACAATGGCGGGGAGACATTCAGCAGGTGAGTCGACTGTGCGAAACAATGGCGGGGAGACATTCAGCAGGTGAGTCGACTGTGCGAAACAATGGCGGGGAGACATTCAGCAGGTGAGTCGACTGTGCGAAACAATGGCGGGGAGACATTCAGCAGGTGAGTCGACTGTGCGAAACAATGGCGGGGAGACATTCAGCAGGTGAGTCGACTGTGCGAAACAATGGCGGGGAGACATTCAGCAGGTGAGTCGACTGTGCGAAACAATGGCGGGGAGACATTCAGCAGGTGAGTCGACTGTGCGAAACAATGGCGGGGAGACATTCAGCAGGTGAGTCGACTGTGCGAAACAATGGCGGGGAGACATTCAGCAGGTGAGTCGACTGTGCGAAACAATGGCGGGGAGACATTCAGCAGGTGAGTCGACTGTGCGAAACAATGGCGGGGAGACATTCAGCAGGTGATTCGACTGTGCGAAACAATGGCGGGGAGACATTCAGCAGGTGAGTCGACTGTGCGAAACAATGGCGGGGAGACATTCAGCAGGTGAGTCGACTGTGCGAAACAATGGCGGGGAGACATTCAGCAGGTGAGTCGACTGTGCGAAACAATGGCGGGGAGACATTCAGCAGGTGAGTCGACTGTGCGAAACAATGGCGGGGAGACATTCAGCAGACTGTGAGTCGCAGGTGAGTCGACTGTGCGAAACAATGGCGGGGAGACATTCAGCAGGTGAGGCACGCCGGAGGTGAGGAGGTGAGTCAATTCACAATTCAACACCACCATCAAGCTATGGGAATGTGCGTCATATGCATTGGAGATCGCATGTTCACACCCATGCCCCGAAGCTTTGCCTGCCTTGCATTGCACCCCTTGTTGCACTCATACTCTCTCACACCCGTATGCTCCCTCACACTAGTGCTGAACGTATTGGTGGCTGCACTGCGAGTTCATACTCCCTTCCTCCAACTCACCACCGCCCTCGTTCTGCCCACCTCTCCTTTCTATCTTTTCTCCTCTTTGCCCCGCGAACCCTCTTCTCAACCACCCGGGTTCGTTCAGCAGGTGGCCGCACCCGAGCTCAACGCACTGCTGGCTGGCTCATACCTCCTTCCTGCCCCCTTGCTCCCCTCTCCTCCCTCTCCTGCTGTCTGTTTCTTCACTCCCCCTAGGTACATACACGCACCAGGTGGTCAGGTCACTACCTAACTCAACACACTGCTAGCCGCGCTGCTGGTCCATACCCCCTTCCCCCCCCCCCCCCCCCCCCCCCCCCCCCCCCCCCCCCCAGGTACGCCCGCCAGGTGGTCATACCGGAGCTCTACGCGCTGCTGGCAGAGCTGCTCTCAACACTCCGCCAGATGGCAATGTGAGGTGATCAATTTTTTAGAGTTGCTCATGGTGTCTCCTGGTGTCACAACCCCCCTGCAGTCACCCCAACACTGCGGCTGGGGTAGAGGGCTCAGGCTTCTTCCTTCCTCCACATCCCTGCTCTCCCCCTTCCACACCCCGCTCCCCCCCCTCCCCCCTCCCAACCCCAATCCCCTCCCTCCCCCCCCCCCTCTCCCCCCCCTCCTCCTCCTTCGTATTGCGGCAGAGAGCGATGAGGCGGCGTGTGCTAGCAGGGATTGAAGGAGGTCCCTTCTTCCCCCTTTCCATTCCAACGTCCCTTGAACTCTTCAAACCCCAACCCCATCCGCCTCCCCATTCCCATCTCCACTTCAATCCCAATTCCCATTCCCATCCCCATCCCATCCCCATCCCCATCCCCCTCCCCATCCCCCTCTCCCTCCCCCTCCCATCCCTATCCCCATTCCCATCCCAATCCCAATCCCCATCCCTATCCCCATCCCAATTCCAATTCCAATCCCAATCCCAATCCCCATCCCCATCCCCATCCCCATCCCCATCCCCATCCCCATCCCCATCCCCATCCCAATGTCCGCATGAGAGAAGGAAGCAGTGCATCGCGGTTGCTAGCAGGGTTGAGCGAAATAGGGGGTTACAGAAATTAGCGTTCCACTTAACCCCTCGCACAGGGAGCGATGCGGCGGCGTGTGCTGGCAGGGGTGAAGGAGGTGGGGCAGGCGGTTCGCAGTGGGAGGGCCAAGTGTGTGGTGCCGGCACCTAACGTGGAGGAAGAATCTGGGACAGGTGAGAGGGGGAGAGGGGTGATGGGAGGTGAGAGAAGCGATAAGGGCTGTCACGGTCTTTTTTTTTTTTTTTTTTTTTTTTTTTTTTTTTCATTGTCCCTTGGGCATGCCAAACTTTTAATTTGCAGAACATGCTCTCCCCACCCATACGCAGCATTCAATGTTAAAATTCAAATCACTCCTGGCCCACACCCCACTTCCCCTACAGCCCTTTCCCCCAGGCAGTCTTGACATGGCCCTCGCATCCATTCTATCAGATGCCGTTGCTCGCAGCATCCCCGTGGTTGTGGCTCTCTCCCGGCGTCTCCTTGCCAAGGTCAGTGCAGGTGTTGAACGCGGAAGAGTGTTGGTGCTATCAGGTAACACTTGGTAAGGTGAAGTGGAGGGGGTTTATGCGGGAGGGGTAATGCGCGCAGCATGTCTGTTGTTGTGGCTCTCTCCCAGCGCCGCCTCGCCCAGGTGAGTGCAAGCTGACGTGCAGGCCGCGTGGTCAAGGTGGGGTGTTGAAGCTATGAGATGAGGCTGAGGTGGAGTATTGGTGCTATCAAGTAGCACACGGTAAGGTGGGCTGTTATCCCTGCAACACACCCCGCATCCCCACCCTCCTCTGCCAGGCCTTGAACCGCCCGCGCTG